TTCTCTGCTTCAGAGTCTTTCTATGATACTTCTTCTGCTAGTGATTCTGTGTTTTCCTTCTCGTTAGAAATCTTAACTTGTTTACCTTTGCCTTTTAATTAATTTCTTTCTTTTTTGCCAGAGTTAATATTGCTTGCCACATTCTCTTTTCCTAGATTTCTGGTCAAAGCTTCCGTATAAGAGGGCTTTTTATCTTTATCTTCTTGGATGTCCATCTATGCTAGTTTCTTGTTATAGTAATAAATTTGTCTTTTTTGTGCATTAAGGCAATCTTCTTCATTTTTAAAATATACTAGTACAATACTTCTTCTGTTGCCATTACTGTTATTAGAAATATATACTGCTTTGGCCTTATTTGGTTTAAGTTGTCAAAAGAGTGCAGACTCAAGTATATTAAAAGGAAGATCTCGAAGTCTAGCCATCCATTTTCTTCTATTAATTAGCTCTGCTTTATCGAAATAGCCAGGAGTTAGTCAGCACATGCTTTCTTCTTTAAAGTAAACCATTCAACTTTCTTGGAGTGCTTTAAATCTCTCTTGATTCTAATAAGTAATTTGGATATACACTGCTTTCGATTTCTTAACCTCTTGATATGTATTTTTCTATTCAATGATCTTTGCTCTACCATAAAAATTAAGGCTTCTTCTTACTCTACTAGCTCATATCTCTACTGGTAGATCCCATAGTGTTAGTTCATATTCTGGTTTAAGGTTTTGGGTTGTTTCTTCTTTTGTCAGTTTCTTAGATATTTCTTTTTTTGGTGGTGTTTCTACCTTTAATAATTCTTCTTTGGATCTATTTTTTGGAGCCCAGATAGATTCATTGATATCCTTTGGTGCCCATCTAGATCCATGTATATCCTCATATACAATATTGTATTTCTTTTTCTTTTTTTTTTTGGGTGGAGCCTCTACTGATCTTTTGCTGTGTCTTAATAATATCAGGTCTTTCGTTTCTTTAGTACCTTCGTTATGAGTTCCACATTCTGCATATAGCAAAATTATTTCATCTTCTATTCTCTCATCATCTGAGCTCTCTAGAACCTCTTTTTCTGACTCATTTAGGATTGCTTTCGCTATTTTATCAATACTATTGTCTTGTCATTTGGGTTCAGGTTTCTCTATGCTTTTCCTCTTAGTATCTTCTATCACCACATGTTTTCTTTTATGTGTTGCTTCATAAACGATTAATTGAGCTGTGGGTTTTTCTATTATCATCCTGTCTTGCGTTAAGGGAGATTTTTTTTTTCAACCTTTGGTTCAGGTGTTATATATTTCTTCTCTTCTTGAATTCTTTTTTTAGCATGTTTCTCAAAGTTGATTGTCTTGTTCTTTGGATTTACTCCAATTAGTTCTCGATCTACAGCATTCAATCTATCTCCTCTTGAGTATTTTTGAAAAGCTGTTTTGTAGTTTTCTAGTGCTATGCACATGAATGATACAAATTCTGGATCTTCTAATCCTAAAAATTTTGCCATGCTTCTATCTGTTTGGAGAACAAATCTCTTTTGTGCGTTACATAATTCTTGCCTTACTTCTACTGGCAATGCAAAGACACCCTTAATCTTTTCTAAGGTTGTCATTTCAAAAATTACTAAGTTTAAGCTTAATTCTTTCTTTTAACTATGCTAAGTTCTTGATCTGTTATTGTAGAATCTATGTTTACTATAATGAATATTCTAGAATAATCCACTTCTATATTTTGCTAGTGGTTACGTTGGTTGTATTGATTTGTTGTTGTTTTTGAAAGTCATGTGAATTGTTTGTTGATTTGTTATTTTTGTTGTGTTTAAAAGTAGAATGTGATCTAATATTTGTTTGTTTGTTTATTTACTAATCTTACGCATTTGTTTTGTTGTTGCTTTCACATGCCTCTAAGATCAGATTTTTCAAGATCAAACAAATTTTCCAAAAACTCCAAAAAATTTTTTAAAAATTTTCAAAAGTCTAAATTTTGTTGCTGGTCTTAAAGTTTTGTCAAAGGTTATTCTAATGAACTAAAGGTTCTTTTAAGTGCTCTTTCCTTTTTCTTAATACAAGAAACCCTGTTTCCTATATTAATTTTGCAGAAAAGTGTTGTTTTAGTTTTAGTCGAATAGAAATTTTGTTAAAATTGAAGATCGGTAAGTTCCTTATTTTTATCTTTATCCAAAAGGATTAATATTTATGTTATTATTATTTTTTTTACTTAATATACAGTAGACTCTAATATTTAATTTCTTTTACTATTGAGGTCATAGTCAAAATGTTCAATTTCTAGTAATTTAAAATAGAAAAAAAAGTGCCTATCCTAAAAAAGAGGTGTAGTAAAAATTATAGATAGCTTGGGTAACAAGCAAATTTTAATCATAATTTCAGGTATGCAAATTGAATATAACAAGGTTTTTTATAATGAAAATTTATTTATTTGAATATTAATAATTGTTGAGTTTTAAAAAAGTTAAGGTTTCTTAATCCAGAATTTGTAATCGATAAAGGCATTATATCGTTTACGATAATATTGGTAACAACAAATAAGTACTTATTAGCTATTCTTAAGAGATAGATTTAATTTAAATATATAATATGTGATTATTAACCTCTTTATATTGTTACTTCATCTGTAGGCTTTTTATTTACATCATCTTCTTCGACAGCTTTATCAAGATTGTTTAAATCTCGTATTTCTTGTAAGATCATTAACAGTATAGTTTTTGTCTTATTTTTTAAGTTAGTATATTTTGAGTATTATGATTTAGGCAGCAATATAAGTATTGAATTAATTACTGAAATAAGTTTTTCTTTTTTCATCAGCTTTTCATTTTTTAGCATTTTAGCCACTTGTTCTGTTACTGGAATTGCTTGTCATATATTAGTACCAGTTTTTTGCAATAAGGTATTTTTAATAAATGTTTGTCTTTTTTCTTGTGCAAGTATACCAAATGACTTCATTTTCTCACTCAAATTAACATCGCCATCTAAATTAGTAAATGCTCTGTCTAGATTTAGAAATTGTTTTTTCTTTAAGTACACACGAAAGCGCTGTTCTTCTGTACAAGAATTAGGTCAGGTTTGTTGTTCTGAATTTTCATTATCCTCATATCCAATAACATTAAAAAGGTTAGTACGTAGCTAAATTTTAAAATATTAGAATTAATTTGTATAGTAATATTTACTTAGTAAGTTATCTTTAAAAAATTTATATAATTTCTTGCGGCAATTTCCCAATGATGTTGTGATGATACTGAAGGAATTAAGGACTTTAAGGCTTTATTAATTTCTTCTATTATGGCATCAAGCCCTTGATGCTGATTTTGAAGTCCTGAATGAGATATTACTGAAACATTTTCAATAGTTTTACGAATTTGAGATTTCAAATTTAATAAAGTTTCTTCATATGACACTTCTAGCAATTTATAAATAGGGTGGCATCTGGCTGACCAAATTGATGCAAATTGACGTCGAATTGCATTTCGTAATAATGGTTAGTTGGTTCAAACTCCAGTGCGAAAGTTAGAAATTGCTTGAAGATAAGTAAAAATCTATTGTAATTGTGTTTTATTTGTTTTATTTGAATACTGCTAAAAAAAAATGAAACTTCAGGCTTTTAAAATTATTATTGATTATTTATTGGATTTAGCCTATTAAAAATCTGATTGATAGTATGTGACTACATATGAGTGCCTTCAAAAGAAAACCTACAATCAGGCTTCAATTATATTTTGTATCTAGTTTGTTATCTGAAAGCCATCTAGAGAAATTTATCAATTATATTTTGTAACAAGTCATTATAAATATAATCAAAGTTTAATAATAAATTTTCTTAGACGGCTCTCAGAGAACAAACTGAATACAAAATATAATTAAAAGCCTAATCGCAGGTTTCCTTTTGACAGCACTCATATGAGTGTTGTTAAGGGAAAACCTGCCATCAGGTTTTTAATTATATTTTATTTTCTGAGTGCTTTCTGATTATGACAAGTCATTATAAATATGATTAAAAATCCAATGATAGATTTACTCTAAACGGCACTCAGAGAACAAACTGAACTCAAAATATAATTGAAAGCCTAATGACAAGTTTTCTCTTGACAGTACATACCGTTATCAGATTTTTAATGATAAATAAAAAGTAATCAAATTAAAGCCCAAAGTTTTATTTTCTCTTGATATTATACATTTTATATTGTAAGTTAAACTAAAATGATACTTAATCTATTCAAACTTTAATTTGTATATTTCATTTGTTTGCTTTTTAGTTCATTCTAAATATCCATTAGATGTTGGGTTATCATGATTTAAAATATATGGCCATATTAATTCTGATGCCATCAAATAACGATATATATTACATATTGAATCCTATACTTTATGGTGATCAATACACTTTCGAAAAAATTTTAGCTAATTATCTGTTCGATATCCTTGGCATCGAGCAAATATTTTTATATCTATTTTCCTAAAGAATTAAAAAATTAAACGTAAATAAGCTAGTAAGTTTAAATAACTTAACATTAATTTATACCAATTTAGCTCAACAAATGCTTTAAGCATATTCATCTCCTCATGCAAAGCGCCTAGAAGTAAGATTAACCAAAAAAAATTTTTTTCAGTTTTAATACTAGATTATATAGCACACTGTCACATACGATAGGTATCTATTTGCATTTTCCAGATTTAATTCCAGTAATTACTTCAATATGCTCTAAAATTTTTTGAACATTTATTAAAGAATTGAGATTAATAGGAATTGGATCAGGAACATATAAATCTGGAATTTTTACACCTTGGTCTATTATAGTTCTTTGTGTTATACTAATTTTGGATATTTGTGATTTGTACTAAGTTTTTTAGGTTCATATGGTTTAAATTTATATTTTTAGATAATACGGTTTGTTGAAAGGATGAAGGTTGACTTATTGAAGTAAGCATAGGTAGTTTATCAGGGCAATTTCATTTTTTATTTTCAATTTCCGATTTAAAACAATTTGGGCATTGTTTTATTTTATTAGATAAACTTTTTTACTTCTCAACTAGTTTATCTATTTTATTAGCTTCTTGATTTTTTTCAGAATACAAATTACTTATTATTTCATTAATAAAATCGTGAAGCTTTATTTCAATTATATTTTTCATATCATCACTTAAATAAAATAATTGATTAATATTATTTTCAGTAAGTAAATCAGTTTTCTATAGATTAATTTTTAACTGGCTATCATTATTCAAATCAAAATTAAAGGCTACAAAGCTAATTATGGTATGAAATACAACTGTGTTGTGATCTCGATCTAGATAATTTTTCTGACCTTTTTGTTCATTATCAAAAGCCAAAATTAAAAATCAATCTGGCAAAGGCTTAGATTCAATTGCTAAACTTTTAATCCAATTAATAAACTTCGTATAACCTCCTCTACCAGTAATATGACTATCGATATCTATTATAAGTTTTGATCGAGCAATAGTATATTTAATTGCTGAAGCAGCAAGGTTTATTTCAGAAACATATTTACTGTGCCATGATTTATAGATTGAATCCACAGCAACTATATGCTTAAAGACTTTTTTTTGATATAGTTGCTCATCATCATTATCAGTAGGTACTTCAATAAACTTTACTATCACAGATATACATGCCACTGAAATAGATTTTCAAAAAACCCCTATTTCATCTCCATTAGAGCAATTTGGAATTTTTTATATGCAATAGCAAATCTAATTTAGGTAGTTATGTTCCTTATAATTTCGTCTCTTCAAAAAAATTGTCAAAAAATTTCGTCTTTTAAGTAAAATAGATCAAAAACAATTTCATCTTCAAATTTTAATTTCGTACTCCGAAACCTAAAATAATTTCGTCGGCATGTATAATCACAGGATTACGATACTTGAGCTAATTTAAAGAATTATATGATAACAAATTTTCTAAAGAAAACTGACTACAATCATTAATTAAATAAATAATATCATCATATAATAGCTTTCGTTCTAATGAAGCTATTTTAGCAATTTCTGTTATTCATTTTTGTTGAGTATTATATCGTTCATTCCATTGATTTTTTAAATATACATTTTCATTTTTTAATTTATTTTTTTCATTTGTTAATATCTCTACTTGACTTTTATATTTATCTAAGCTTTCTAATCTAAGACTAAGATCATTGACTTGCTTTTTAAAGTATTCACATTTATGCTCTAACTCAGAAATTAAACTATTCTTAACTTCAATAACTTGTAATTGTTTAGAATGTTCAGTTATAAGAATATTAAGAGAATTCTTTAAATTTTCAATTTGCGTTAAAAGATCGCTATCCATTTCTACTTAAATTTCAATATCGACAGTCACTAAAGGTTCTATTTGCATATTAGTATTACCGCTATTTAAATTTAAGGTATTAGAATTGCGGCTTTGCTTTCTTGGGTAAGGTAATGATTCATCTTTTAAATAATTTAAATAATTATCTTTTGCAAAAATTTGGTTATAGTGTATTTCACAAATAAAATATTTTTTTAACTTATTTTGAAGAGTGCTTAATTCAGTAAAATATAGTTTAAACAATTTAATTTGGGTTTTAATAGCACTTGTATCTGCATTTCGAATTCGTTGACCTTCTTTAGTTTCACACTTACTTAATTTTTTATGTTTATAAGTATTAACAAGTGTAGAAAATAAACAGGATAGTGAAACTTCGTCTTCTATTTTTAAAATAAAAAAAAATATAAGTATTGATTTACAAAATTATCACAAAATACTAACTGTCTATTTTACTTGAAGTAGTAACTTTAAAATGTGAATTGCTGAATTGGCTAACATTATGTTATTTGTGTTGAAATTATCAATATTTCTGATTTAACTTTGCAACCTTCGATACAATTATATATGCATAGTGAAGGTAAAAACTTGTAAGTGAAATTTTAAATTTTTATCATTATATTTGGTATAAAATAATATATAAGTAGGTATATACACAACGATAAGTAATATTGTATATACACTTACAGGTTTTTGCCTTGCAACACTTATAAGCTAATACATATAAGTTTTGCCAAGGGAAATGATACTTTGTGCCTTCAAGTTTATCACTTAATTCAGTTCATAAGAATTTTAAATTTTTGCTATAATTAATATCATCTTTGAGTAATAAAAAAGTGAGTGATATCGTATATACGCTTATAGGTTTTCATTTTGCAACGTTTATAAGCTACTTTTTATTTAATTCAAAAGTTTAAATTTTTACTATAAAGTAATATGTATCGCATTCGCATATACACTTACAGGTTTTCACTTTGTAATACTTATAAGCTAATGCATAAAGAGAAAATCATACTTTGGTCTTTCAAATTAATTGTTTAATTTAGCCCAAAAATTTTAAATTTTTACCATAATTAAAAAATTAATATTATATATCAGTTATCCGATTTGTTATACTTATTTGCATCTAAATTTTTTATATATAAAATTATAGCAAAAACATATAGAATTACTTATAAACTTTGAAGCT